CCGCTGCTGCCGATGGCGAACCTCTCAAAGCACACCTTGCACTCGAGCAGACTGGTCTCGGCCTCGCGCAGGGAGCTCCCGCAGCGCCGGCCCGCTCCCCGAGGCCTCGGCACCCATCGCGCAGCCCGCGCAGCCCGTGGCGCTCCCGCCGCGCCAGCCCCGCCGCCCGGCGCCGCCCGGGGTCACGGTCAAGGGGCGAGGCGCTGCTTCTGACGTCGATCGCGGCGCCGCTGGGCCGAGACCTGCTGCCCCCTGGTGGGCGCGTGCGGCACTGCTTCTTGAAAGCCTGTATTCACAACGCATGGTCAGATATGTCATATTAACAAAATCATGGATGGGTTATCTCCACACATCACATGAGGAAACACACCCATTGAGAACAAGAGGGTTCCTCCCTATCACCCAGTCTGTAAGAGGCAAAGCAAGAACTAGAACAACCTCGTCTTCCAACCCTGGTGCCCCTCAGTTTCCAATTTGTGGTGCTGGGTGCTCGGTGCTAGGTGCTAGGTGCTAGGTGCTAGGTGCTAGGGCTGGCGAGAGAACACGGTCTCGTGGTTCACGATGCTTCTGATCAGACTGGAAAACACAGACACACGAGGAAAGTTAAATTCGAGGGGGTGAGGCAGGTGTGAGTCTTTATCGCACTTGTAGTTAAAGTAGATACTTAATGAATACGTGTAAAATAAATTCATGTACTAGCAAAAGAATGTTATAGGGCAATACAAAAACCCACTAGGTGAATGAGTGTCAGATGGGGGAACAATGGCTGGAAATGTCTTCCAGAGGAATTAATGGAAGTAAATAAGCTGTTAATCAGAATTGCTATAGAACTTATGCCATGCCTGCTTTCTATTATGTGGTTTACATAGATTATCTCGTTTGACCTGTAAGAGCATGTTATTTTCTTTTTTTCCTTTTTTTAAAAAAAATATACTTTTATTAATTTCAGAGAGGAAGGAAGAGGGAGAGAGAGATAGAAACATCAATGATGAGAGAGAATCATTGATTGGCTGCCTCCTGCACACCCCCCACTGGGGATCGAACCCCCAACCTGGGCATGTGCCCTTGACCAGAATCCAACTTAGGACCCTTTAGTCCGCAGGTCGATGCTCTATCCACTGAGCCAAACTGGCTAGGGCAGAACATGTTATTTTCATCATCCCGTTTTTACAAAAGAGTTCATACAGGTTAAGCATCTTGTTCAGGGTCACATGGCTAGGAAGTAGTTGTGCTGGGATTTGAGGCCAGGCAGTTTAATTGCAGAGCCCGCACGCTTAACCATCCTAGTGTTGTATTTTTTAATTTTTTTAAATTGATTTCAGAGAAAGGACGGGAGAGGGAGAGAAAGATAGAATCATCAGTAATGAGAATGATGGATCAGCTGCCTCCTGCACAACCCATACTGGAAATTGAGCCCGAAACCCCAGGAATGTGCCCTGACTTAGAGTCCGACCGTGATCTCCTGATTCATGGGTCAACGCTCAACCACTGAGCCACACCAACCAGGCATGTCCCAGTGTTTTTCCAACTTGGTTGTATATGGCAAATACCTGGATCTCATAACTAGGTTTACTTGGTTTGGATGTGGTCTGGGCAGCTGGAAGTTTTAAAGCTCCCCGTATGATTATACTAGTAATGTGCAGCCAAGTTTGACAACCACTAACAACTACACTACAACAAGCCCTTCAAATGGCACCAGGTTAAATTCTTCCATCCTCAGTCAAGGTGGAAAGCACAGAGAATCTACCCTATGTTTAAAAACCTTCAAACAGGAGATGGCATAATCTCAGGAAACTCTCATTTTCAGTTCTCCCTATCCCTCCCCCCTCCAAAAAAAACCCCAAAACACCTTACATAAACATTCTCTTTATAAAACCACATATCAGCTTACTTATCTTCATTTAGAGATCATTATTATGATCATTCACCCTCTTATTTGCTAGACTTCTGAGAAAACAGAGGACTTTTATCCTGTGTTAAAACCCCTGGAGGAGCTTTAATGTAAGACAGAAAGAACATTTTCTATGTGTTACATAATTCAAAGATTATCTGTGTACTGGGAAATAATAACCAATTTAATAATTTCAGGCTATAATGCATTTCCATTCTAAATAAATAGCTGACTAAAGTCAAACCAAATAGGAATTACTTTCTGAAGTAATCTTTAAGTGAAGAAATACATTCAGGACACCAAAAATGTAATATTTTTAGAACTAATGTCTATTGGAAATATAATGAGAGCCACATATATAATATTAAATTTTCTAGTAGCCACATTTTATTTTATTTTTGTCATTTCTTTAATATACAACTTTATTTCTGGTTATAGAAACAAATGCTAGGAGGAGAAACAGTACTTCCCCATCCATATACAATCCTATCTAATAAAAGAGAAACATGCAAATTGACCATACCCCCAAGCGCTTCCCATTGGCTAATCAGCAGGATATGCAAATTAACTGCCAACCAAGATGGTGGCCGGCAGCCAGGCAGCTGAAGCGAACAGGAGGCTTGCTTGCTAAAGTGATGGAGGAAGCCAAGTTTCCCGGCCTGCAGCAGCCCAGCTCTGAGCTCCGGATGCAACAATGTTGCAATTATAGAAGCTAAACAAGCTCCAGATAGCTGCTTTCAGCCGGCAGCGGGCTCAGAGCTTAAAGCGGCAGTGATGGCAACAGAGTTTCAATTATAGAAGCTAAACAAAGCCCAGATATCTGCTTTCAGCAGCCGAGGCCTCAAGCTGGAGCTGGCCTCAGAGCTAAAGCTGGCTCTCAGCTCCAGTGACAGCCATAGAAAGTAAATAAATCCCAGAATAAAAATTAAAAAAAAGAAAAAAAGGAGAGGCTGGGAGCTTCAGTCACCCGCCAGCCTGAAAACGGCCCTCAGCCCTTCATCCAGACTGGCCAGGCACCCCAGTGGGGACCCCCACCCTAAAGGGGGTGTGGGCAGCCTAAAAACAGCCATCAGCCCATCATCCAGGCTGGCCAGGCACCCAAACGGGACCCCCACCCTGATCCGGGACACCCTTCAGGGCAAACCAGCCGGCCCCCACCTGTGCACCAAGCCTCTATCCTATTCTACAGGCAGGGCGGGACAACGTGAGCTGCCATCGGGGCCCCATGTGCAGCCCTGGGCAGCGGGGCATAAGCCCCGCCCCCAGCTGGGACCCCTATGTGCCACCTGAGCCCCCAGCCGGGACCCCCATGCCACCTAAGCCCCGCACTGCTAAGCCCCGCCCCCAGTCGGGACCCTATGACTATTGGAGAGCAGGAAAGTGCTGCTGGGCCCTGGGTCGCTGTGGTTATCTGGCCATCGGTAAGTAGAAAAGTGCGGCCTGTAGGCAGCCCCCAGCTGCGCCTGATCAGGGAGCAGGAAAGCCCGGCCTGCGGACAACCCCCAGCTGGGCCTGCTACCCGGTCGCCATGGGGATCTGGGAGCAGGAGAGCAAGCCCGGCCTGCGGGCAGCCCCCAGCTGGGCCTGCTCCCCCATCGCCATGGCGATCCTGGAGCAGGAAAGCCCAGCTTGCAAGCAGCAGCCCCATCCTGGCCATAGCTCAAGGGAGAGTACAACATGCAGTGGAGGCCAGGAGCCTGAGAGATCAACACAGAGGGGCTCCTGCTCCAAGCCTCCATGGTGTGGCTGGGGGAAGGCCCCCAGCAGACACACACACACACACACAGTGCCTGCTCTGAGCCTCCAATGTGGCTGGGGACAGACCCCCAGTGGGGACACACTCACACACACACTCACACACACACACACACACACACACACACACACACGGCAACTGCTTCGAGCCGACATGGCGCAGCTGGGGGCAGGCCCCAGCAGACACACACACACACACGGGGCACCTGCTCCAAGCCTCTGCTACCAGACTGTGGCCATCAGTAGGACATCCACTGAGGGCTCCCGGACTGTGAGAGGGGCAGGCTGGGCTGAGGGAACCCCCACCCCCCAGTGCACGAATTTTGTGCACCGGGCCTCTAGTCCTATATAATAAAAGCCTAGGTGATGTCACGCCCTTGCGCAACATACCTGCGCAACATTGTCACAAGATGACTGCCACAAGATGGCCACACGCACAGTAGAGGAGGGGCCAAGTGGGCGGTGAGGCCTAAGGGTCCTGTGGCTCAGTGTGGCGCAGAGGAGGCAGGTCCCGGTGGAGGAGGTGGGTTGCTGCAGGGGAGGGCAGTTGTGGGCGATCAGGCTGGCGGGGGAGCAGTTAGGCGTCAATCAGGCTGGCAGGGCAGCGGTTAGGGGGCAATCAGGCAGGCAGGCAGGTGAGTGGTTAGGAGCCAGTGATCCCGGATTGTGAGAGGGATGTCTGACTGTCGGATTGGTCCTAAACCGACAGTCAGACATCCCATGAGGGGTCCCAGATTGGAGAGGGTGCAGGCTGGGTTGAGAAACAACCCCCACCCCCCTGGCCATGCACAAATTTCATGCACCGGGCCTCTAGTCTATACTAATAAAAGCCTATGTTATCATCACACCCTCGTGCCATGATGCCCTCATGCTGCAACAACCGATCACCAGGAGGCTGTGTGCGCAGCGGGCTCATGTGGGTGAGTGGGGCTGCGTGAGCTGCGAGGTGCACACGGGTGGGCGGGGACTTGATGCTGCGTCCCCGAAGGGACTTGACCAGGAGATGCATCGTGGGAGCGGATGGTGGCTGCTGCTGCCCAGGGCCAGCCCGAGGCTCAGGCAAGCCGCGGAGGGTGGCTGCCACTGTGAGGGCCCAAGGCTCAGGCAACGAGGGCTGGGCCGAGGTTCAGGCAAGCTGCAGTGGCTGCGAGGGCCGAGGCTCAGGCAGCCTCACGGCTGGCAGTGGCAGTAGCAGAGGCGTGATGGGGGCATCACCTTCCCCTGATTGTCGGGTCACCTCCTGCAGAGGGAGGCCAGAGGCAGCAAGGGGGTGATGGGGGCAGTGCCTTTCCCTGATCGGCCAGTTGCCTCCCACAGAGAGAGGCCAGACTACAGCTTAGGCCCGCTCCCCATAAGCCGTCAGTAGGACATCCCCTGAGGGCTCCCGAACTGTGAGAGGGACTCCACTGGGCCTCTAGTTTAATAGATGAAAGAACAGTTACAATAAATGAAAACCAAAATGTAGAAATTTTAAACTTTGTCATAGCTTTAAAACATTAATGTCTGATACAATTAGAAACCACATTCATTTCTCAAACCTTAAATAAAAAGTATGGCTCCTTATTTAAAAAGTACTGTATCCCATTAGGAATGGACAGGCAGGCCAGCGCAGCCGCAGGGGTCCCTCTCCCGATGGTTGCCTGGCTCCCACCACCACGGGGGGGGGCATCTGCGAACCGCCCTGAGCTCCCCAGACCAGACTTCACTCACAGGCAGTGACATTGCAACATGACCTCCACTTCACACCCCAGGCTTAGACCTTAATTTTCACTTTGTAGGATACCACTGCTTTTGAAGCACTGATTACACATTTTCATTTTTTAAAAATTGTTTTTATAGACAGAGGAAGGGAGAGGGAGAGAGATAGAAACATCGATGAGAGAGAATCATCAATTGGCTGCCTCCTGCATGCCCCACACCAGGGATGGAGCAGGCAACCTGGGCATGTGCCCTGACCCGGAATTGACCTGGCGACCTCTTGGTGCACAGGATGGTGCTCAATCAGCTGGGGCACTACAGCTGGGACCCAGTATCCACATCTATGTATATAAAAAAAAACCAGCGACTGGAATGGTGGAACGGCCAGAATGACCAAAATGACTGGTGGCTATGATGCTCACTGCGGCAGCCAACCAGCCTGATCCAGGCCCTGATCGGCACCCCACCCATATACGAATTCATGCACCTTTTTAAAAAATAAAAGGAGCAGGCTGGGAGAGGTCAATGGGGGGGGAAAAGGAGACATATGTAATATTTTCAACAATAAAGAATTAAAAATAAATAAAAAATAAAAATAAAAAGAGCATAGCTGGTGTCGCTCATTGGTTGAGGATTGACTTATGAACCATGATGTCACAGTTTTATTCCTGTCAGGGCACATGCCTGGGTTGCAGGCTTGATCCTCAGTGTGGGGGTGCAGCCAATCAATGATTCTCTCTCATCATTGATGTTTCTATCTCTCCCTCTTTCTTCTTTTCTGAAATCAATAAAAATATAAATATTAAAAAAATTAAAAAGAAAAAGAAACTAGTGAAGTCAATTTAATTTCATATTTTATTTAACCTCAAATATACAAAATATCATTTTGACATGAAATTGCTGTATAAATTATTAATGAGATATTTTACTCTCTCTTTTTTTTTTTTTAGTACTGAGTAAAATTCAGTGTGTATTTTACACTCACAGCACACCCCAATCCAGACTAGCCTCACATCAAGTGCTCAGTAACCACCTGTGATTGGTGGCTACGGCACAAACAGTACAAATCTAGACCAAGCCTGTGCTATGAAATGTTGCCTTCTCAAGAGGCTTTCTGGATGGATTTCACTGATCCTTGACTTGCTTCTAACTTGTCTCTGCTCCACCATTGTTTTAAAATGTATCCAAAGCCCAGCTGGTGTGATTCAGGGGTGGAGTGTCGACCTATAAACCAGAAAGTCACGGTTCAATCCCAGATCAGGGCACATGCTGGTGTTGCAGGCTCTATCCCCAGTCAGGGGCATGCAGGAGGCAGCAGATCAATGATTCTCTCACAATCATTGATGTTTCTATCTCTCTCTCCCTCTCCCTTCCTCTCTGAAGTCAATTAAAATATATAAAAAATAAAATAAAATAAAATGTTCCAAAGACCCACAACTCATTGCTGACTGTGGCCGAGCTTAGACCCTTCAATGACCTTGGCTAGCCTGACAGAAGAGATGAGCTGGAGGGCTCAGCTCCCTTGCTCAACTGCCGGATAATCCTGTCTTCTTCCTGATGCTTTGCTGCCCCTGTGGGGCAAGCAGTAGTACTGCATGGTAAACCAGAAAAAGCTGCACTAAACCTGACATTTTTAAAAGAATGATCATGGTAATCCCTCTACCGCTTGGTAAACAGCACAGTAATTCTGGAAAGCGTTTTGGCACATACACAGACAATCTACCCTCATGAATTATGGTCCGGACTCAAATGGTAACTTTAAAGCATGGAAATATTTTGGATCATTTGATTGGGAGTTAAGGTTTTCTCAATTACATAAAGCTTTCAGAACTAAGAACGCATAGGTTTAAGTCTTTCACATTTAGGATCCCTACATTCTCGCTCAGCATTCTTTTTTTTTTTTTTTTTTTTTTTTTTTTTTTTTTTATAAATTTTATTGATTTTTTACAGAGAGGAAGGGAGAGTCAGAAACATCGATCAGCTGCCTCCTGCACACCCCCCACTGGGGATATGCCCGCAACCAAGGCACATGCCCTTGACCGGAATCGAACCTGGGACCCCTCAGTCCGCAGGCCGACGCTCTATCCACTGAGCCAAACCGGTTTCGGCTCGCTCAGCATTCTTGCCAATCATTTTCTTCAGTGTTTGCTGCCTCTTCACAGAATTACATACAGATTCTATTCCAACATTCCTGTCAATCCAACCCAGTCACTCCTGCCCTTTGCATTTTGTCTTTTTTTTTTAATCCTCACCTGAGGATATTTTTTCATTGATTTTTAGAAAGAGTGGAAGCGAGAAGGAGAGACACACAGAGAGAAACATTGATGTGAGAGAGAAACATCTATTGGTTGCCTCCCGCATACATCCCAACCAGGGCCAGGGATCGAACCTGCAACCAAGGCATGTACCTTTGAGGGAACTGAACCCGGGACCCTTCAGTCCACAGACCAATGCTCTAACCACTGAGCAAAACTGGCCAGGGCAGCATTTTGTCTTTTTTGTACTTACCGAGTATATGGAGTCCAATTTCCCTTTTATCCAATCTTAAAATTGCTCTAACCTTCACCCCTTCTTTCTTCTGCTCCTGTCTCTGGAGAGATAAACTATGTTCCAGGAGATCAGGAACCAGGTCTGGTTTTGCTCAGCACCATATTGTGCCCAATACACAACTAGTTGCCAACAACATCTTTTAACTGGATGAATGAATGAATACTTAGAAGGATACTACTTATAGGTAATAAACCCAAATGTTATATATTTTCTTTGACGATTCTCCAGGATTTATAAGAAGCACTGTTAGGAAAGTAGTATTTAGCCAGGAACAGTGCTAAACATTTTGCCTATCTCTAGAGTCAATGCTAATGGGTTTCTCAAATGCCTTATATTGTAAAATCCTCAGCACCTGTATACACACACTGATTAATAAAATAAATGCCCTGAGTCTAACTCCAACGTTTTGAGTTTTTGATGGTGAATCTTTCTGTGCCAGAGTCTCCATGGATTTCTTCCACTTCCCTCCAACACACCTCATCCCTGGAATAGCCTGCCCATCTCTTCCTGCTCCCACCTAGAATGAGCCCTGGGGGTTATGAGGACAAAGGACTTAAAGAATAAAAACTGTGGCCAGTGGATGGACCTAGGTGCAAAGTACCACCCACAGAGGAGGGAGAATGGAGACCTAGTTCAGGTGGTTACAGCAGAGAAGAGGGAGCGTGGGGGACTAGTTAAAGAACCTGCGGAAGGAGTTAGTGCCTAGGCAGGTGGGCTCCTGGTTTTGCAAATGCGGCAAAATATGCCACATACATGCAATTTAGAAGGCGTTCCAAAAGAAGTCCAATGACACAGTGACCTTTCAGACTGCACCTGACAATGACAGGAATAAAAAATGAGGTCCAAGACACATCGAATGGAATTATCTCAATCAGGGAGGAGAAGTGCAACTTCTTCAAAGACAGTAGGCACTTTAGCATGAGCTTATGAGCCCACAGAGCAAAACTCCTGCTATCTTTGTTCATCTGAATCCTTCCTGGGTTGTTCAGTTTTGCGTTTCAGGCCAGCTTCCGGACACCTCCTCAATAGGTGAATCTCTGTAGCTTGTGTGGTTCCTTGGACTCTGACCTGTGCTCTGGTGACATCCCTAGCTTTGCCCTGGGGCATCTTGTCTTCCCAATGCCCCCTCTGACCACCTGTCTAATTTTGTACCTCACATTCATGTGCTTGGCTTCTCAGGGGTGAGGGTTTGATGGAGAAGGGCATAGTGGTTCAGGCCTGAATGTTTTGAGCACCCACAGAAAAATGAGCTGGAGTAGATGGTTGAAAATGAGAACCTAGAGATTTTAATGTTTCTCAAATTTGAAAAATTTGAGTGTTGCTTAGGACACCATCCTTGGTCTTTTTCTCTTCTCTTCCCACCTGCTCTAAGTAATGTTGTCCTCACTTATTTAATTATTATTATTTTTTCTTAATCCACATCTGATGATATTTTTTCCATTGCTTTTCTAGGGAGAGTGGGAGGGTAGGAGGTGGGGAGGGAGAGAGAGAGAAACATTGATGTGAGACAGACACATAGATTGGTTGCCTCCCAACTGGGGCTCAGGATTGAACCTGCAACCCAGGTACATGCCCTTGACCAGGAATCAAACCCGTGACTTTTTTGTATCAGGGCCGACACTCTAACCACTTACCCACACTGGCCAGGGCTGTGCTCACTTATTGATGGTTTAAGTGTCCACTTACAGGCTGACAGTTGCCTGTGTGTCTTCCTCTTGCAGCCTCACCACACTATATAGTAATGATCACTGCTCAGTCTCT